ATCAAAATGTTTCCACGCTTCAACATCTGATGGATGAGAAAGAACATCACTTTTTGCTATTTTCTCCTTATGTCATCTCATATGACCTGTTGAACTCATTGATTCATAGAGTCGTTGAAGTCTTGGAATGATTGGTAAATAAAACGGTCGTTATGAAACCCCCGGGTAACCGCCGGTATTAGCCGGCGGTCGCACCGCCGGGCGAACCGCCGGTAAACGGTGTTTTTCCTGTAGTGTCATTCCACATGAATTCTATTCATGCAAAATCTATCCATGTTTAAAGTTTCGATCTCCCGCCTCAAGGTACTCAAAATTATATATATATATATATATAATTTTAAAATTTCTTCTATTGCTAACTTATCTACCATTTCTCATCTTCACCCTTAAATAGGAAAACATAAATACATTATTATTCATCCAATATCTACACATATAGCCAAAAGAAAAAAAATAAACTATACAATAGCCATGATATTTAACCAAAAAAAAAACCAATCCATAAAATACATCATGACTATAATATGAATGAATAAGAAAAATAGAAAGAAAACCTAAACTTATCACCCAGATTAATCTCACATAATTGGTTCCTTACCCTTAGCTGAAAGTAAAAGAGAAATTACATAATGAGCATGAAAGCTCAATAAGTTACCAAAATCTACAACTGAAATAAATGCATGAAATAAAAACAACATATAAGAATTCATATCCATACAAATAATAATCTATCATATAAATACTTATCAATTCTATATCAAGTGAATCAATCTTATCATATGTATCATATATCATGTGTATTTTGTCAAACATTATGTATTAGTATCATTACCATATCATTCTTACTACATATTGGTCATATTTCTTATATCATTTAATTAGTCAATCAATCTCATTTGTCAATCAATCTCATCTATCAATCAAACTCATCACCAATCAATCATATTATATATCATGTGTTGTAAGTCTTGTATCATGCATCTTGTATATATTATATCTTATAGATCTTGTATCTTCTATATCTTATTCTTATAGTGTTACATTACAGTATGAATCTCTATTAATTCATTCTTCGATGTTTCATATCAGATCACCTTTTAGTGTCACATTTCAATAATTGAGCTTCCCTATCTTGTTAAAACCCTAGTTAACTTGTATGACATAGAAATAAGTAAAAGCAACTTTTTATCATTTTATGCATGCTGACTATTAACTTTTTATAGAAATTCATACATACAATTTAACTACTAAAAATGCAATGTGAGTAAATCAAAAATTTCAAATTAACTATATTTATAACATATAATAAGTTATATGGGTTAAACATGCTAAGTTAGGAAATAATATATTTTTAGCAGATTTAGGAGAGATAAAATCATAGAAATTGAAATCAATGAAAATAAATGTAGGATAGAGGTTAATTTCAACGATCAAAATAATTTTTTTAATAGAAGCAACAAATGAAAAGGCCTTGAAGTAACTTCTCCTTCCTCTCTTTATATAGAGTATATGACGCGCGACATTATAGTTACAGCGCTACATGCAAAAATATGGGTTATTGTGAAATATAAAATAGAGCTCCGCAACACTCTCAAGCATAATACCACAATGTTATAGTCCAACATTTCATAATTTTAATTAATTCGTTACAATAATTTTTTTGTTATTACAATCGTAATCAGACAAATGAGGCCTAATTGATCATAGTCAGACGACGGTGTTCAAAGGGGCTATAGTCGGACGATGGTGGCCTGAGGGATTGTAGTTGAGCGCGATGATAAAAAGGGATCATAGTTAGGCTACGAAGGTTGGAGGGACCGTAGTCGGGTGGTAAAGGTTGAATGGATGGTAGTTGGGTGATGGTGGTTAGAGGGGTAGTAATTGGACGATAATGGTTGAGGGGGCAGTAGTTAGGTAATTGATGTTTGGTGTTTGTAGACAGGTGATGACATGTTACAATGGTTGACAAGAAAATATTAGATGGCGGTGGTCAGACAGAGGTCCAATACCAGTGGTCAAGGAGAGATTTGGCGGTGATGGTCCGATAGAGGTTCAACAGTAGTGGTCGGGCGACATGGGTTTTTCGGTGATGGTTCTCATGTTGACCATATGGATTTTTCAAGCTTTAGAGCTCTCTTGGATCTCTAGGCTTAGGTCTAAGCCCTCTCTTCCTTCATGTGAAGGTGGGCGGCTATTTATATTTTTGGAGAGTAACATGTCCTATAAATATAATAAAATTCAAGAGCACTCCATCGAATGATCTATATTAATTCCCTCAATCATAGATCATTTCTTCAACATTTACACACCTAGATAATGTTGGAATCATGAGATCTTAAGGTTTCATGGGATTCGCCTCATCGAGCCGCTTGATTCAACTCCATGCATGTCATATTTAGACATCATTTGGTCTTTCAATTAATGCTATGAAGTTATCACCTATTCTTCAAATCTTTGATGTGAGCCCATTTTGGCTCAGTGGACTAATTTTGATGTCGTTGGGCTCGTTTCATCGAGGCATCTTTGTTGACTATAAGTTTGCTAAAATTGGATTTCGGATGGTCCCAAATTTAATTTCGAAAGTTTCTAATTCAAATATGCCTCGAGATTTATGCAATATATTAATAATTTATATATTTCACACATTTTAAAGTATTTTCACGGGTCTTATAGCCCATCATGAATAATTTTTGTTGAGGATTCAATAACATAATTTTTTTTCTATCCATGGTCGCACGTCATCCCAATAAACTAGTTTGTTAGCAGGCTTGTTGCGTTCAAACGGCAATTGGAGAGTGCAAAATTTAATTTGGCGTTAAGATAATAAAAATAAATAAAATAATATCCATAAGAATTCACTTAAATTTATCATCATAATTATTTTATGATATAACGATATCAAGTAAGTTTTTTATTAGCAATTTTAAAGGTTTTATGGAGGATCGATATCTTGGTTGAGTTAACTTTAGCCTTTTACTTAGAATTATTCCCTATATATATTGATCTTTTTTTTATGGCCGGCTGCACATTTTCAATGTAGTTTTGTCTTATGAATGAATTTTTTCAATGATTTAGCCAATTAAAAAACTTCCTTTGTTTATGTAGACATTAACATATTAATTAATTCATCTCAAATTCATTAATGATCACAACTTAGGCCTTATTTGGGACGACTTTCTTACTGCTTCTTAAAATAGCTTTTTAGTATATAGCTGTTTTAAGAAGCAGTAAGAAAGCCATCCCGAATAAAGTCTTAGTTATTAAGTTCAGATTATTAAAAAAACCGTGTCTCCATCAAAGCTGACATCTAACTTCAAAGAAAATAAATATTGCAATCCGTTTGAAATATATATATATAAGGATCGACTTTCTTACTGCTTCTTATATATATATAAGTAAAAATAACAATTATAAAAAGGCCGCCCTACAACCAATCAATCTTTCGAATAAGATTTCAATCATGGAATCACACAACTACTATGCTGACTTTGGCCTTGCACCTTATGGCAAAACATGGTCAAAACTACATAAAATTTATATTGATGAATTGTTTAGCTTAAAATATTAGAAGTGGGGGACATAAGCAAGGTCACATACCTAAATCAAGTTATCACAGAAACTCTTAGATTATGTCGTGAAACACTTGAATTAGCTGGCTATACAATACCGGTCGAAAGTCAGGTAGTAATTAATGCATGTGCTATGATATGAGATCCAAAATATTGGGAAGATTATGAGATTTTTCCACCATATAGATTTGAAGAAACAACATTAGATTTTGGAGTAGCAAACTTTGTGTATATTCCTTTTGGTGGTGGAAGAAGGATTTGTCCAGGGGTTTCTTTTGCATTGGCAAGCATGAAGCTTTGGCTTGCGCAACTGATCTTCTACTTTGATTGGGAGCTTCCAGGAGGATGGAGTCCTTAGGAATTAGATGTGGAGGAAGCTTTTGGTATAACATTAACTAAAAAAAAATGATTTATATTTTGTTGCTACTTATCATGAATAGTCTTTCCATGATTACCTTAGTATCTCCAATTGGTTATTAAGCATGTCTATATGGGGAAATCTAGTTTGGGTCAAATAATAGCTTCTTTTATGAAATATATGAGTAATTAATAAAATATTGATAGAAATAAAATATTGATAGAAATCACTTAAATATATCGTCATAATTGTTATATGACCTAACGATATTTATTATGATGTTATTAGTCATTGTTAAGAGTTTATGGATGATCAATATCTTGGGTTTAATTAACTTTTGTCTTTTTACATAGAATCTTTTCATATATAGATCTTTTCTATGGCCGGCTGCACAATTTGAATGTGGTTTTGTCTTATGAATGAAATTTTGCATTGATTTAGTAAAAAAAAGCTTAGACTTTTTTGCAAAAATAAAAAAACTTGCTTTGTTTATGCTGCAATTTACTTATTAATTATTAAAGTCAACTTAGTTTACATCTACCCTTATACAAAGCAAATGCTGTGGTTCGCCTGAACTCTAGATATATATATACAGTATAAAAAGGCCGCCTTACAACTAATCAATCCATCCAATAACATTTTAGCCATGGAATTATCAATTCTATCAATCCTTCTTCCATCCATCCTCTGCACTCTCCTCATAATTCTCCTCATAAAAAAGCCCACGCTTCACAAAACCTCCAATCCTAGCAACTTCCCTCCAGGTCCATGGAAGCTCCCCATCATTGGAAACTTGCACCAGCTATTAGGCGAGCACCCACACCGTAGGCTTCAAAACCTAGCCAAAACCTACGGTCCTCTCTTCCACCTCAAGCTCGGTGAGATCGATCTCATAGTAATCACATCTAGTGAATTCGTTCGTGATATTTTCAAAACCCATGACCTTAAATTTTCTTCAAGACCTAAGTTAATGGTAGGCAAGATAATCCTATATAACTACGCTGACTTTGGCCTTGCACCTTATGGAAAAACATGGTCAAAACTACGTAAAATTTGTACTGTTGAATTGTTTAGCTTAAAGCGAGTTATGTCTTTTAAGTTTATAAGAGAGGAAGAAGGAAATAATCTTGTGGAGAAGATTATGATGGCGAAGGGATCACCTGTGAATTTGTCAGAGATGCTTTTATCCCTTTCAAATGCTACAATTGCGAGGGCTGCATTTGGGAAAGGAAGCACACAACAAAAGAGGTTTTTGTTGGCGATGAAGAAGACGTTTGAGTATCTCTCAGGATTCAATGTGGCTGATATGTTTCCTTCGTGGAGTTTTGTTGGTGAGATAAGTGGATTGAGGCATGGGATGGAGCAAGTTCACAAGGAAATGGATTGTGTTCTGAATGAGATAATTGAGGAGCACGAGGGGAAGAAATTGGATGGTGATGATATGAATGAAGATTTGGTTGATGTTCTTTTGAGAATTAAGAGAAATGGAGAGATGGGTTTATCACTCACGATGGAAAATGTCAAAGCTGTCATATTAGTAAGTGCTTCAATGAAAAATAAATGTGTCAGAATATTATGATATAAATTATATATTAGGATATGCCTTATTTATTTATTTATTTTGGGATTAGTGCAATATATATTCTTCCTATATAAATGCGCTAATCTCAAAGAAAATCCATTATGTTTCAAGCATATCCGGATATAATTTACATCATAATATGACGCACAATCAAAGTTCTAAGCTATGCTAATTATGGATTCGTTTGGGATGACTCTCTTATTGTTTTCTAATTGAAAGTTGCTTTAAAAAGCAATAAAAAGTTGTCTAAAAAAGCCTGAGGCTTCATTTGGGATGACTTTCTTACTGCTTTTTAAAAAAGCTTTTCGGTATAAAAATTTTTTTAACTAGAAATTTTTGTACTAGAAAGCTGATTTAGAAAGCAACAAAAGAGCCACCCTAAACGAAGCCTAAATCTCTAAAATTGAGAAAGGAAAGGTTTAAACATTCATAAATTAAATAGATTTTCAAAGTAATATATTATTTCTTTTATTCATTTAGAATTCAATATTAAGCAAACAAATAAAATGTAATTAAATATAATTGACGTTGAGAATTTAAATATAATGTTAATTAAAAAATGAGAAGCCTCGTTTTTTTTTATCATAATTTAATGCTATTTACTTATTCTTTAATTTCTATTTTATAAAAAATGAAACTGTGATGACTGAAATCTGATCAATTATTTAGCATTATTTGATGTTAATCCCAACTAATATTTATTACTTCTGAAAAAAGTGCGACTAAATATAAAAAAATTCACCGTAATTAGAAAAAAATTACTTAAAATATAACATTTTTATCTTGGTCTTTATAAGGTGTGAACATAGCTTAAAATTGAGTTGTGTTTTCAGCTAACAATTTATTTTAAAATTTTTTCCTAGGATATATTTCTTGCCGGATCTGACTCCTCATCTACTGCAATTGAGTGGGCTATGACAGAGCTCATTCGACATCCTATAGTTATGCTAAAAGCTCAATTAGAGGTAAGAAAAGTCTTAAATGGAAAGAGAACAATAGAAGAGGGAGACATAAGCAAACTTCCATACCTAAATCAAGTTATCAAAGAAACTCTTAGATTACATCCTACTGGCCCTCTCCTGGTGCCTAGATTATGTCGTGAGACAGTTGAATTAGCTGGCTATACAATACCAGTTGAAAGTCGGGTTGTGATTAATGCATGGGCTATGATGAGAGATCCAAAATATTGGGAAGATCCAGAGATTTTTCGACCAGAGAGATTTGAAGACACAACATTAGATTTTGGAGTAGCAAACTTTGAGTATATTCCTTTTGGTGGTGGAAGAAGGATTTGTCCGGGGATCTCTTTCGCATTGGCAAGCATGGAGCTTTGGCTTGCACAACTGCTCTTCTACTTCGATTGGGAGCTTCCAGGAGGTAGGAGTCCTCAAGAATTAGATGTGGAGGAAGCTTTTGGTCTAACATTAACTAGAAAAAATGATTTATGTTTAGTTGCTACTTATCATGAATAGTCTTTCCATGGTTACTTAGTATCTCTAATGAGTCAATAAGCATGTCAATGTGTGGAAATCTAGTTTGCATTAAACTATAGCTTCTTTTATGAAATATATGTGTAATTAATTTAATTTTATTTTATTTATTTAGAAGTGGGACATTAAGTATGTTTGATGCTTATATATCACAAACATAAATTTTAATGCAATAATGAGATTTGAAAACACTCAAATGTTTGAATGAAAAACTTTTATTATCAATTTTGAGACCATCTAAACTATATTTTTTGCATACTTAGAAACCCCTAGATGATACAAATCCAACAATAACAAAATGCATTGTTCTCAATCCAAATGGACCAAAATCATGCACTTGGTGGCATAGTTGGAAATTTCCTGTGTTTAATTAAAGAACCAAATAATCTACATTGTTTAAGTGATAATGGTTGAAATCAAAGTCTTGTTGAGGATGACTAGAACCTCATTGAATTGATTATAATCATCAAACACCTTTCCTTAACCCCTTATTTTTAAACAATGAATAAGTCTTTATTATAGGAATTATAATCATATTAAAAATTTTCCCATATTTCATGTGTGCAACAATGACGATCATCTTTATTTTAATTGGAGGATCAGAGTGTCATTGCTAGGATTTTAATAATCTGCATTTTCTTTCTCATATGCCTCTTATTTGGTTAAGGCTCACTGAAACATTTTGTAGGATCAAGAAGAAGGGAGTGAGAAAAGTTTCATAATTAAAAAAAAAAAAAGGGATTTTATTCTAATTTTTTGGACCCCATTTTTAATTTTTACTTTTTTTACTTATTTTTTATAAAGAAATCTTAAACAATTATTACAAGATTTTGTGCTAGCATGGTTTGTGCAATAGAGACCAACGACTAGGAGGACCAGTGCACCAATGTTTATGCCCAATTCAAGGCCATACATGTCTTTTTTTAGCATTTATAGATCTTGTAGAAGTATATTTAGCATGTGGCATTGTGGCGCTCCTTTAATTATGATTCATGGTTTCTTCTTTCCAGCACAAAAAACTTAGATTTAGAAACTATTTACTTTAAAAAGACAATTGTTGGAGTATTCTTTATTTTGTGTTATCAATAGTAAGCTTTAAATCATATGCCGGATAATTTTCTCATGCTATTTTAACTGCTTAGAAACATATGTTGTGACTTTCCTATGCTACATCAGAACTAATGCGAATCCTTTTAGTGAAGCATCACTAAATACTTTTAATCCCTCTATACCTAAGAAAATCTGGCACACACACAGATGAAAGAGAAAATCTAGTGATGAAAGAGAAGGGTACAACAATCATACACTAGAATTTTTATGTGAAAACCTTGAAAAGGGAAAAACCATGCGGCATAGCATAATTAAATGATTCCATTGGTGTTTTTTGGTGATTATAAATGATATCCTTCCTCAGGGGAAGGTGATAATTTAGTTTAGGGAGTATATATATATATATATATATATATTACATTGTTTGAGTTGGAGGAATCCAATGACATAAGAAGAGTTCTCAAGAGAACATTTGCTTGTTTTTTTGGTTGATAGGATCATAGTAGGGTGACGGAGGTCATGGGGCACCATAGTCGATGTGTGATAGAGGTCATAAAGACCATAGCCGGACGACTAAGGTCAAAAAGAGCATAATCAGGCGATGTGGGGGCTCGCTTATGGTCGCTACAAAATAGTGCTAACATGCAATTTTTAATATGCTTAAGTTTTCTTTCACATAAAAATAATGAAAGTCCACTAGATACTAAAGTATAGGTGTTTATCAAGTAATAAAGTTATAGAGAAAATTGTCGATCCCACAAGGACATGTTCTGCTTAATTATAATTAAGCTACTACTGTCCAATATAGTTGCATGAGATATCCTACTAAATAAAAATGATTCTTTTTGAGTTTTTTCCACTCAATGAGGACTTGCAAGATAAAAAAGATACCAATATATAAAAAATATTTTTAACTAATGAATGCAAAATAATATAGTATTTCTAATAAGATTCTTAATTTTTAGATGTAGATCAAAGCATATATATCCCTAGATATCTATTGAGCTTGTTGGTGTAAAAAAGAAGGTTTATGGTCTTCTTATAATTATAATTTCTCCATCAAATTTTAAAGTTTAACGCCTATACCATGGTATACCAACAATTTGTTTTAATATTCCTCTATCACGGTAATATATCACACAATATAGTAATTATACATATTGCCACTATATGCATTAAATTAAGAGGGGAAGATTTAAAACTCTTTATAAACTAATACAAGGAACAAGAGTCAATATTATTACTTGCTATATGTTTACGTCATTAGCCCAAAACGCAGAGATTTAGCTAGACACGAATAACAAAAAAAGCATACTAGTGTTCATTTCATTCATATAAGAAGAGATACATGAGAATTAATAAGGATAAATTTCGCAAGAAAGAATCAATTGATATTCTACATAATCATTATTCCTCTAACAATAGAATTGCTTTCCCAACATAGGTTAAGATCTCCAATTGAAGGTATCTTGCCTTTCTCTAGCATCCCTTAGATTTTATTCTAAGATAGCACTAAATAATGACACTCTAAAGTATACGACTTTAAGATAGCTTTCACTCCCTTGAAATAAAAGAATTCAAAAACTATTTTTAAAATGTGCAAAAGTTAGCTCAAGCGCTGCAACACTTGGAGTGTGGGTGCTGTAGTGTTATAAAATGAGCTAACATCTCAGTGTTGTTAGGCATACTCCGATGTGGCACTGTTGTCCTTATTTTTATAAGAAGTCATCATGGCTTATCTTGATTTATACCTATTGATATGATGGTTGACAACCATTTTGGAGTCAATCACCAGAACTCAATTCAATCTCAATCCATACTTCCATTCAATCTCAACCCAGGCATCAATTCAATCTCAACCTAGAATTTAATCCAGATCTAAATTGAAACTTTAATCTTGAATTTAATCCAGAGTTCAGTCCAGATCTTAATCCAGCCTTCAATCAAACCTAAATATAGTCTTCAATCAAACTTCAATCAATCTTCAATCAAACTTTAATCAATCTCTAATCAAACTTCAATAAAGCATCAATTAAGCCACAATCTAGACTTTAATCAAGTCTTTAATCAATTCAATCTCTAATCAATCCAAATCTCAATCAATCCAAACTTTAATAAATTCAAACTCAAATAAATCTAGACTTTAATCCAAACTTTAATTAATCTATACTTTAATCAATCCATACTTCAATCAATTCAACCTTCAATCAATCCAGACTTCAATTAATTCAAGCTTCAAATAAATTTAGACTTCAATCCAAACGTTAATCAATCCAGACTTCAATCAATTCAACCTTTAATCCACCCATAATTGAATCAATTCAACCTTTAATAAATCTAAAATTTAATAAACTCAACCGTCGATCAATCCATAATTTAATCAATTCAAGCTTGAATCCAGCATTCAATCCAAAATTCAATCACACTTCAAATTGACCTTCAATCAAACTTATATCCAATCTTTAATAAATATTTAATCCTATCTAATCAATAATAATCATTTATTTGATTGTGATTGATTTGGATAATAAAAATAGTGGTGGTTCTAACTACCACAAATATTTAAGAATAGCAATGATTTTAACCACCGCAAAAACTAACGCATTTCAATTCTTCTCCATCAATTGTAAAACTGTTATGAAATGGTGTTGTAGTGAAAATAACCTATAGTGGACATGTAGAAGTTTTGAAACTATTTTGTGTTAGTTAAAACTTCCACAAAAGCCTATTTTAAGTGCTACAAAATGTACATTTTTTAATAGTGTGAGCGCCATGATCTTTTTACTTACTAGGATTTTCACATACAAACTATTGTGCCCTTTATTGGAATAATTTTAAATATATGTGATGAATCTTCAATCAAAGCTAGGATGTAAAACTCTCTATCTCAATCACCAAAAATTTTCTAACATGCAATAGTTTGGCTTTGCCTATACGAATCATTCCTGCATATGTACTACAACAATTGTGTTTTTAATAGTTAACAATCAATCCCTTAATTAAGGGCAATACAAATTATGAGATGAAGGTCACATAGGCCTTGCTTTGGATGATTTTATGCATTGGATGGAAGAACTTTAAGTTTAAATCCTTTGACAAAAATTATAAAAAGCACCACCAAAATACAATGAAGTTATCCCAACAAAAAAACAGCAATAGTTTGAGGTTGATCCATTTAATGTCACCCATAAGCTTATCATCATCATCATGCTACAACTCATTTTTCTCTATAGTCTCATCATGGTCTCTAAAATTTTACCAATTCAACCGTTTTCATAATTTGCATGGTTAAACCATAATCCTTCATCAATTATGAGGGTCTTAAATCAATATTTCTTTATTGATTCCCTTCATTATGTTATAAGTGATGAGCTGTGATGCCCTGTTAAAAAGAATTTCCCTTTGAGGGAAAGAACCAACTCACCCTTATCTTATCTTTCAAGAGTGTTCACCTCTGACTGATGCAATTCATTAGTATCACATTTTAGTGAGGTTCAAATTACCTATAATTGACCATTATAATCAGACCATAGATCTTTACAAGCATATCAACTACTACAGATCCATCTTGCACATTCAACAAACTTATGATGTATTTTTGGCTAGCTCTTTCCTGAACTCTTAAGGTAGATGCTTTCCCTTAAATTTACTCTTTCTAAAAGAACTATTATTTCTCCTAATCTGGTTATATTTTTTTGCCAAATAATTTATTATTAGCTGAAGGTTCATCTAGGACTTTTTAGATCCTTCTAAGATTCACCAAAATGATTGGGACACCCTAAGGAGTACTTTCAAATATTCTCTATAATTATAATTTTTATATTATTTGGATGAACATAAAGGAGCTTGACTTGGATATACTAAAACTTGCAAGTTTCTTTTAGTATTTACTAATTTGCTGTGAGTTTTTAATGTTATATTTATACATAATTTATTTGTAAAATATTTTG